ACATTATAATACTATTTTTGCATTGTATGAAAATTTTTGTTGCTCCGTATAAAATTTTTAATCAACCCCCCCCCCCCCGGTCAAAGGTGTCCCTCTTTACCAATCTGAAAATCTGGTCACCTTAATTATAACCAAAATTCTTGGACCATTTCATTGTACTCTTTAACTTGTTCTTTTTCTGTTTCAAATTTCAATAAAAGCTTAAACATTTTAGCAATAACACATTCATCATTTGTAAATAATACAGTCATAAATCATTTTGGTAATTCAGTTTATCTTATCTAGATTAAATTAATTTAATATGAGAACCATTGAAAACTAAGTCCTTCTGCAATTGTTCTCTTGATTTCTTTTTCAGTTTGCAATGATCTTGTTATAAATATTTTGACAATGAATTATTACAACCTTTGCAAAAAGTGAGTATTCTATTCTAGGCAATCGAAAGATATTAGATGGCAATAGAGCATTAATTCCTAAAGATCAATACTTGACTTTATCAAAAGGTTATTAACCGAACAATGACTACAAGGTATTTATAATGATTCTAACTAACTGAAATAAAAAAGAGAACAGTTAAGAGATAATATTAAAATGTTCTGGACATTCCAAATATTTTGGAATATTTCATTGTATCATTTGTTTCTGTACTGTATAAAAACACTTGAGCCCCTCCTAATAAATGATTATTATTATTTTGCTTTATCTGTATAGTTGGTGATTTGTATTTTTGGATGGGCAAAGAAGGCAAAAAACATATCTTTCAAATTCTTGAATTAAGTTCTCTTCAGCTCCACACCAAACTTGGGGTGCTTGAATTTCAAGGCAACATTCTCATGTTCTGCATATGGTTGGGGGCATATAGCAAGCTACTTTGAGAAACAATACATGGAAGACATGGGTCTTTGCTCTGATATAATATGGTTCTTGTGTTTTTATGAGTTTTGTCTTTCTTGACTAGAAATTAACTGCACAAGAAAAATGAAATACAACTAGGATAGAACCAGTTCTCACCATTTTAGATTGCATTTCCCTGGACAGTTGGAGATTATTTGTCCCTCTCTAAATATAACACTATGTGGAGGAAAAGAAATAACAGGGAGAAGGAAACCCAAGTTAGAACAGGGCTAGCATTCCCCCTTCCTCCTGAACAATTAATTTCAGATGCTCCAAGGTTGCACTGAAATCCATTTCACGTCGTCCATTCACTGTCCACTAAAAGTGAAATTTGGACTTCTGATCTACTTGAGGACAAAAGAATCAAGATTGCTGGTGGCACATAACTATTTTCCTTTCACAAACGGTTCAGAGAAATCCAAAGGTGGTCACTGCAGCAAAAAGTAAAGCGGGTTAAAGCTCAGTTCGGTTCATCGTATCATTTTTAATTCACACACACACCCGCTAACATGAATCGAACCATTTCAACGAGCCTCAAAGGAGAGGAGATCGTCACTTTGCTGAGGATTGGGGAGGGGGGGGGACACAAAAACACAGTGAAACCAGAAAGATGCTATATCGAATTTGCAAGCAAGAACGTTTTCAATAGCCCCGTTAGCAAGACATCGCAAGTCGCTCCTCTGCAGCTGCTGCACCCGTCGCTTCCCACGCTGTTTGGTTGATTACGGGGACCATCGTTCGGGGAGGCCTTCTCGTTCATCCGATGGGATCATCTACCCCACCCCCCCTCCCCCGATAACAGAAAACCGCTCACTCACAGCTACGACTCTGTGCCGCACTCACCAGGTCATTGGAAGGAGAGGCGAGAATGCAAAGCATCCCACTTGTGCAGCAATTCGAGACGACTGAGCCGAAATCCGTATGCTCGCCTCCCCCACTTCCTCTTATCTGGTTTGGTAGTTGTGTATCTAGACCCCCGGAGCTACCGACGGCAAAAGGGGCTCGGCTGCTTTCGCTCCGCCTTCCGCTGGCCGGTTCGCTTTTATTGCGCAAGCACAGGCCCGCATGGTCGATTGTTGCTTTGGTATTTTAAAGCAGACAGAATTCTAGCTTCTTCGGACTTCATTCGCTGCTGATACTGTGCGGTATTGGCAGGTGGCTGTCTCCTCCCTTCGATGCTCGGGCGCCTTCTTTTTTCGTTTCCCTTTTTGGATCTGCTGTCAAAACTGAATGGAGCCTTCCATTAAATACGTTTTTGGTCGGCTCACTAACTCTTTATAAAAAGAGATATTTGTAATAAAGCTAAACGTATTCTTCAGTTTCTGGCTCTTACAAATAGGCTATGGAAAGCCAAAGAGCTGAAAAATGCACTGCTCAAGCACTGTAAATCTGCAGTGCATTCTTAAGATTTGTGGGAAAACAGTCCTGAACTCAAAACTGAATAGAACATAACATTCAAACATCATGATTTTGATGCCTATTCAGAGTCTGTTCCTCTTTTTTTAACACACTGCTTCATAATGGGCCCTCTGGATTTAAGGATTAAAAATGTATTGAGTAAACTGACATATGGCATTAAACCACAAGTGCCACAATTTGCATAACAGCCTAAGCCATAAACCAAGAGTTAGACCACATTGGCTGTGCTGTTTCCTATACTCTAATGCAGCCAACTTGCAAAAGACCAGCTGCGTTGTACGTACTCTCACAAGTATTGTGAAATAAAAGCTTGACCAAATATTTATAAAAAATAATAATAATAACTAGGAACATTGTCTTCTTCACTACTAGGTGTTTAGAAAAGGCAGTTTTACCCATCACCTACCAGTTGAAGCTTTCCAATTCCAATTGCTATGTCTCACAAAAAATGAACATATTAATCAGGCAGCAAATAAATCATTTCAGACTTACAAGCATTTCATAATTCAGAATCCTTTATTACATCAAAATAAATTATTCCCAAATGCAAATTTTCAAAAATTGAAACATGCAGATTATATTTTTAATCTAGATTATAAAAGCTATTAGTCAGATTACGTTTTCTGTAAATAAGAGTTTCTGGCTGATCAAATGACCAGTCAAGTATGCAATCATGTTGCCTATTTGCATTCTAGAGAGCTTTTCATGAACATTTTTTTAAAAAAAAAATCTTTTTAAGAGTGTGTACCGTCCCCCCTTTAGAATTAGTCCTCTTCTCTATTTGACAATGACCTGGAAGCTTTTAAATTCAGTAACAGAAGCATTAGATTATATGGCTTTGAAGAGGTAATATGGAATTTACCCAGTTTAGGAACAGTAATCACTTTATCAATACTGATTGATATGAAATTAATAAGGCCATATTTTTATTTTCAGTTTTAACTACACTTACATTAAAGATAATAAAATTGTGCTTATGTAAAAGTAGAATTCACTGATCTCAGTAAAAAATCTCTCGTTAAAGATTACAGCCAAAATATTGAATCTGTAAAGATTTATATTTACATAGACCACACACAACCACAAGCAATAAAAACCAGCTTCTTCATATAACAGTAATCACAAAGTTTTACTTAGGAAAATAAAATTAAGAAACACAATTTAATGTACAATTAATTAAAAAATTAGGTAAGGGGCCATTTATACCCTTACTAAAAAAATGTTGTAGACTGTCCCCAAATTTGTAACATTTGGGATAGAGATACAAGAGAGAGAGAATTGATTTCTCTTGCATCAGCAGATTAAGAGGAGCGTTGGACTCCACTTAAAAGATTTTCCTAAAGAGAGGATATACTTAGAAAAAGCCTCTGCCTCAGAATACATTACATACTATGTGCTATACTACTTATAGAATATATTGTCTAGATCTCTGCTAGTTGGGAGGAAGAAAGCTTTCCATTTCTACTCTGTATTATGAACCAGAGAAAGCAGAACTGATTATTTAGACATATAGGAGGTATAACAAAAACAGGAGAGTGAAAAAACGTGTCCCTCTTTTCCACTTATTCCTTACTTCTTTCCCATTGCTTATTTCATTAAAAGGATTCACGGATCATGCTAGTCAAAAAAGTCTTTTGAAAAGCTTAATTTGTTTTATTCACTTGCCATGCTAAGTCCTAAAAGGTGTACAAACACTGAATTCCGAAATAGGCAAATCTGAAACTAAACAAACCAAACTATGACTTAAGACTTAATGTTATGTATAAATTAAGATAATGAACATTAATTCATTTATCTCAGGATGAGTTTTGTATATAAATTTAAGTTTTTTAAAATAATGCATCAACTTTCTCTTATTTATTTAGTCAAATAAAATTGCATTAATTTAAATATTCACATATATTATTTCCCAAGATAAAAGCAAATGTATTTTTTCTCTATAATGCTGTAACTTTTTCTAATAACAAAAAATATCACATGTAACCATAATCAAAATATGTAAAACTGAGAAAGTTCACACACTTGCACATTTTCAAATGATAAGGAGTGTTAAATTTTTGATTTTGCATTCATTTTGATAATGAATAAACACTTTGTGTATGTGGGTTTTGAAACTCCCATTATAGATAATCACAATATGATCATTTGGAAGCTTCTATGAAAACTGGACTCATGAACTCTTTTAGCTCTTGCAAAAGATGTAGATTTTTTTCATTAATTTTTTCCCAATATATTGCAGCAATATATACCTAAAAGTATCAACTCCCTCATCAAAACACAGAAAGCAATTTCCTTACAATCACAATGCATTCCTCTTAACTTCATAATTTTTACTCAGAGCAGAAAAAAAGTTATCCTGTATTTATTCCAATACAGAATGAACTATTTTACTTAAGTGAACAAAAAAAAAGTGCTGTCCTTAGGTCCAAGTTTGGAGCCCTACTCATTTTTATAGAACAGAAGACAAATAATATTAAGCTAGCTACAAAGTAAATGAACACAAACATACTGTTTATAACTAAGAGGTACAAATACTGAGCCTTACAAAGACAGATATGAAGTTCAAGAAAATGAGATGAAACAAGTATATTTTAAACTCCATTTAAGCACGTTTAATGATTCCCTTGAAATAGTATTTTCTAAATATGTCTGCAATGCTCTAAAAATGACATTTTTTGATTTCTCCCTACAAAAAGAATAAACTTTTAACTACTTATCTCTATAACAAGTTTAAACTGTCCATTGGTTTTATGCTGCTTTAACATAGAGATTAATTGTATAGCACTATGACCGATATATACTAGAACATGTACATATTGAGCATGTATATTTTGTATACATACAGTACATGCAGTCTATAACACTACAAGTTTTTTAAAAAAAGATATGCAAATGATCAACATATTTAAATGCCATGAGTCATTTTGAAAAAAGCAAGTTGTAGTAAATTCAAGATCTCTTAAGCAATGCTTCAGTCAAAACATTTTTCCAGCTCTTGTTTTCTAATTTAAGATTGGCAGCATAAACTCTTGAAGTCCGAAAAAGAAGTTAAATTTGACACAATAAACCTATTCCTGTATTTGGTATAACAATTTCTCAAGGCAATAGTTGCAATTGACTCATTAAGCCAAGAACAATATGTACTTGATTATATACTTACTGGGTAATACTGGGAACAAGTTACAACTTTTAAATGTTCCAGAATTTATGAATAGAAAAATATTTATTTTTGACAATAATTATTAGCAGTGAAAACATACAAAGCATTTACTGATAGAAACAGTGGAGTCTGTAAAGAATTGTTGCGTTCTTTATCATTATGTGGTAAACAGTAGAATGTAGGCATTCTCCATGAATGCCAGAATATTGTTAATTTATATTAACGTTTGGCAATTTTATTTTAGCAATAGGTTTAGGTATAAAATTGATTATGTACTGTCTTTATACACATTCTGACCTTGGCAAAATAGGCAAATTATTCCTATCGTCATGAGAATGTAGTGTGAGAAGTTGCCTCTTCTCCTTCCTCTTCAGGCCAGTTTGTTTGGTTACATTGTGTTTTTTTTCCCCCACTGTCCCAGTAAATGAAACAAAGAAAAATGACTTCATAAAAATAGTCCTCAGGATAACAGGCTGGACTCAGCTGTGTGAAATTCAATAGTCATGTTTGTAGAAAATGCTTGGAGTAATGGTGAGTAAACTGTCTGGCACCGTTAAAAAAATGAAAAATTTCCAAAATTTCCAAGCTTATAATTTAGTATCTGTGTCAGAATACATTTTCAGACTATTAATTAAACACATTCTCTCTTATATTATTAACTGTATGTTGTGTTACCATTGGGCCAAATAGCATTTCAGATTAGCAGGCAAAAATACGTTTCAGATCATGTAGGGATGCAAAAATAACACTTGCCATCAACGCCTTAACCTGAAATCTGCCTTAGGGGGTTGCAGACAGGTGCTATGTTTGTGCCTTCAAATATAAAGTTCTGCATACTGTCCTTATTCATCAAATTAAATATTTATATTTCTTTCTTTGAATATTACAATAAGAATTCATGCTTTGTTTCCTTGGAGAAAACAGTTGTTTAATTCAGCTATGATAACAGCAATATGGAAAGTACTTAAAAGAGTCTTCAAAATTATATTTCATAAAAATCTGTTTCAATCAAATCAAATGAAATTTAAGTTACCATGTCTATTTGAACCTATCTTGATATAATTTAATAGAGTGTAAATCTAACGTTAAGAGGATTAACAAACCTGTTAACAAGCTATTTTTAAAAGCAAGGAGACCCACATCTTCAAAAAATGTAGAGAAATTGGTCTAATATAAAATGTTGAAGTGGCTTTTAAATTTTTTTCTGTCGGTCTATGCTTTCTATACAGATAGCCTAACAGAAAGTGTCTGCAATGAAGAATCACAGTTTGTCTTTTTTTCTGCCATTTTATCATTTAGATCGAATGTATCAATTCCTTCTTCTGCTAATGGAAGCACATCCTGAGATACTAAAACAGCACTGCATAAAATATCCTTTTCTTCTGATAAAACAGCTGTATGGGTCATACAACTTTCTATTCCATTGCTGCAATTTGTATTTTCATCAGAATCATTTAGTTCCTCAACTGTTTTTAAATATTCTTGGAGAAGAGTATTATTCTGATCATTGTTCAAACTCTCTTTACAATATTCCTTGTGATCAACTGGGATCATAACATCAGAAAGGCTTCCTGAAAGAAAATCTTCACAGGGCTTGACTGTTTGCAGAGAATTTCCTAGAAAGCCTTCATTTGTTTCTGTCAAATGTTTTTCAGAGTTCTGCAATTCATTAAGGATATTTTGGTCTGATACACAGGAATGGAAACCTGAATCAGGATATTCCTGTAAACATTTCTGATGAAACTTTTCAGAAGATGAACCTAACCAAGTTGAACTATCAATAGGAGAAGGTTCTTGATTTGGTCTGGATGACTGTATGAATAATTCATGTGGACCCAGAATGCTACCCGCAGGAGTATCTTTTTTCCAGATATTACTTAGGTGTTGGTTTACTGAAAGCTGCCATTCCTGAATAGATTTAACCTGTATAAACCACAAAAAGAAAAGATTATAATATATGTCATATGTAATTGCATAATTATATCTCATTTCACACGAAAAAGTTAATTGGGTCAACTGTAAAACACAGAAAGGTTTCAGGAGAATATCTTAGTTTTTATTCATAAAAAATGAATATTTAGGAAAACTAACCCTACCTGATCCCAAAGAAATTTGACAGCTTCCTCTTGCACAAGTCTTTGAAGTTTCTCTTCATCTTTTTCTTTTCTTAACCTGTAAATGATTTTCAGATATACATCAAGCTTTAAAAGTGTTGCCACTTTGATCACTTTTGCTGCAATACAATTATTTATAAGTAGTCCTTTTCTTACGACCACAATAGAGCCCCAAATTTCTGTTACTAGGTAAGACAATTGTTAAGCGAGTTTTGCCCCATTTTACAACCTTTCTTGCCACAGTTGTTAAGTGAATTACTGAAGTTGTAAAGTTAGTAACAATGACTTTGCTTTGTCAGAAGGTGATAAAATTCCAGGATACTGTAATCATCATAAATACATGGCCGAATTTTGATCACGTGACCATGGGGATACTGCAACGGTCATGTGTGAAAAACAGTCATAACTAATTTTTTTCAGTGCTGTTGTAACTTCAAATGGTACTAAACATGTGGGTGTAAGTTGAGGACTACCTGTACTGCAATAAGAATAGATTCTGGCAAAGAATGTCATTTTGGAGACGAAATATATTTACATCAGTTTATTGATTAAATTGGCCAACTTAATCAGTTTTAATAACAATACAACTTAATTTTGTCTTTGCTAGAGACACTAAAGAGTATTTTTTCTCTTTTGATTATGCTAACAAAGTTGGTGAGCTTTGCCTTCATTTGGAGAACAAAGAGGATCTTAACAACTGAAGAAAATGAATCAAATCCACCACACCCAACCATACCTATGATATTGTTTTCAGATAAAATGTATTGATCTCAAATTATAGCAAATTTTATTTATTTCCTATTATTTCAGTTTACTTGACTTCCTACTTACTTTTGAACTTCTTCAGTTAAATGAATGATATGTTCTTGCATTCTGCTGAGTCGAATTTCATAGCGTGCTTCCCTGACTCTGGGATGGAATGTTCTTGTATAAAATCCTCTCCAACAGGCTTGAAGCTTGGTGGCAGCTTTATTCATTTCTAGAAGTTCATCTTTTTTCTCGGTTACAGTAACTGATGCATCAGTAGATAGTTCTAGAGAGCTAGCAACAGAAACACATTTGATAACATTCTCTTCAGGCGAGTGTGACTGTTTTAAGTCACTGAACTTTAGATTATCATCAGGGGATACTTGATAACTGCTAATGTCATCTGGTTCAATATCAGTGTTTACTGAAGAAGAAGCAATGGGGAAAATATCTTCCTCTAGATATGCATTTTGAGTTTCTACATCTGCTGACTTGAAGGTGTACTTTCCCAAAAGCACAGAATCATTGTTCTGCTTTTCTTTGTTCTGAATATTAATATCTTTTGTAAATTCCAAATATGTATTGCACGCATCTTCCACTTCCTCTACATCAATGCCAATTTCATGAAGTTTCAGTTCTGTTGAAGTGGGCGACATTGGAGACAGCCCTGAAGCAACAGGCATAAAAGTAGATTCTGAAGATAGGAGACTACTGTTCAACTTGTCCTCATCAGTTTGTATATCATCCAAGTAAAAATCCTTAAAAGTATTTCTTTCAGCTTGTACTGAAGTTGGAGAAACATTTTTAACTGCATAAGAATGGTCATCATTGGATTTTGTCGCAACCCAGGTATTTTTTTTAACAATACGTTCTAGGAAAGAGAGTAAAACACATAGACTTTCAATATTTATATATCCATGCATATATTTTTGCCAAACATTTACTATTTATATCTGTCTTTTGATTAATTAGGGATGAGGACAGGAGTCTTTTACCCCTGTTCCGTGGTATGCCAGGAACTAGGCTGTGTAGACCAGCGAAGGCCCATCTGCAGGATGCAAGCAACACACAAAACCACCACCCCTCTGATCCGCGGAAAAACCTTTCTCCACAGAATCAATCCCTATTGCCCAAAGGATTGAGGACTGCTAAATTAAGGAATAAATTATTGATGCTCCTCTGGTCCATAACAATAATATGCATCTGACTAAACAGCAAAACAAGAGAAGGAAAGAGTTCAGAAATGATTGTCCTCTCTTGTCAATGCAGCAATGGAGTATGCTATATAGGAGCCTCCTTCCAATATTCTATCAGGCTCTACCAAGACCAATGGACAGAATACAAGGTGGACTTACAGTTGCAAGAAAAAGTATGTGAACCCCTTGGGATTACATGGAGTTTTGCACAAATTGGTCATAAAATGTGCTCTGAACTC